ATTGTTGCTTAACTTTTGCTTATTTATATCACTCACTGCCGCTAAAAAGGAACGTTGGGTAAGTTATGTTTTTTTCTTATGAATTGTAAGCTCTGAGAACTTAAACAAAATATTATTAAACAACATGCTCGCCGTACAGGATCTATATGAGAGACGCGTAAGTTATCTGCTGCCTGGTACTTGCTTTTCGTTTTCCAACAGCTTTTCTTCTGTAATTTGGTTAACACGCTTGCGCTTTAGAAACTGGAGCAAAGCCAGAGAGTTTATGTAGATGTGTTGTCGCGACGTTATCCTGAAAATCTACATCTACCCAACTGTCCCACATGTCCGCCCTACCTTTCACTCTACCAAATCCCATTGAAGGACACGAGTAGCTCGTCAGACGACAGCGAGGGTTCCAAGGCGCTGACACCCGAGGAGGTGGTTACGAATGTGGCCACCGATATATTGGATAAATTGCCCCCGCTATTTGATCGCGAGGCGGCGCTACTTCGCTACCCGACCCAATACCATCAGAGCATGAACACGGTGCTGGTCCAGGAAATGGTGCGATTCAATGTGCTGCTAAATACGATACGCACCAGTTTGATAACATTGCGAAAGGGCATCAAAGGTAAGTGTTCGATGTTGCACTTGTTAACTTTTAATTTCCACCAATTTATCTTTAACAATGTAATGGGCGACAAAATAATTTTTATACACATATATAATATACTTAAATATTATATATATGTAGAACCAAACTAATCACGTTCTTCTTGCGGCAATGAGGAACGTTTGGTCTGAGTGACTGGTTGAGACACCGATGGTGGCCTACTGGCTACCTCCAATTCGTAATTACTATACGTACCGGTCTGTATATCAGAGCCAAGCCTACCTTGGAAAATTGATTCAGGCTCCTTGCGAGATGTAAGGAACGAGTCGTGCGCATCGATATCTGGTAGATTAACCAAACCCCTTTCAGCGCCCTTGCCACCTGAGTCGTTTGCCTCTGCGAGTACGTCCTCGTAATCTGTATCATCAATGGCTCCCATAGTTTTCATGCTTGCAAGAGAGACTCTACTTGGCATTTCTCCGGGAATCTTGATATTCTCGACACTATCGTCATCCTTGATTTTGTCGTAATCCTTGTTACTATCGAGGTCGATGCCATCGTCTTTGGAGAAGGTGACATTGTCGTGATACTCCATGCCCTCTGTGCCCCCAATGTCTCCTGTGCCCACCATGTCCCCTGTGCTCGCCATGTCCCCTGCGCTCACCATGTCCCCTGTGCCCACCATGTCCCCTGTGCCCACCATGTCCCCTGTGCCCCCCTCAACATCCTCTCCAGAGGCATCATTCCACATACTGCCCTCGTCATCTGCCTCATATTCGGTATATTCCTCCTCTACATGAACATCGTAGCCAGCTACAAATTCTTGAAGTGCCCCAATCAATTGATCTACTTGATGAGTCTGAGTCTCCATGCTGTCGACTGTGGGGCTTGGTGGGTTGGACGGTATCTGACGAAACACTCGAAAATCTTCTTCATTTACAATGTCAATGGTGCTCAATATGCGGTACATCTGTCTCTCTTCACTTAGACGGTGAGGTTGCGTCATCTGCTCGTAAAACTGTGTATTGATCAATTTGTCCATTGGGTCCTCCTGTTGATCGTCATTGGGATCGTCTTTCACTTCAGGCGTGGCTCTAGTTAGCTCTTTGGTAATCTTATCCTCCTTCATTTTCTTGATTAACGTCAATGTCTGTGTGGTGAGCAGCACTTGAGAGTCCAATGTGGAGAGTCCAACGGACGCCCGAGAGTCGACAAATGGATCATTGAATTCGTGTATGTTATCAATGCGCAATACGTGATCCGTTGACCGATCCTTACGCAAATCTATTGGCTCCATTGGCGGAGGCTCTTCATTGTATTTAGCTATAATTGCATCGAATATATCGTCCAAGAGACTGACATAGTTCTCATGGACAATACGCTCGGTTTCGGTCTTCCAGCGTCGACCAGGTACGGCCTGGCGTATGAGTTTTCGTATGATGGCCTCTACCTCATTTCGTTTAGGTGACTCGCTTTCGCTTTCGGTTGAGAACAAGTACAGATCGTTGTCAATCAGGCGATCAATCAAATCGCTAGCTATAGTGAAGGCAATATCATAGTTTTCTAGCTTTTCCCAAATGCCTGCGAAGATCACATCTTCCACAATGTACTTGGCTATCAGAGACTTTTCATATTTCTCGAGTATTTCACTCATCTCCGGGAAGACCATCTTGCCGAGCATCAGACGAAGTGGCACATAGGTCATTGGCGTTTGGATGAGCTTGAAGCTATCCAGCCAGCGTTGAATATCCTTATCGACCTGTTTGGCAATTTTCACCACCGACTCCTCAGCTTCGCATTCGGCAATGTGAGCCACGTCGGTTGTTAGGATCGTATTGATATAGTCATCGGTCACTTCACTATGCACCGCATTGGTCGACTGGTACAGGTCCTCGTAGATGGCACGCATATTGTTCTCCTTTTGACGTAGACCCGCTTCGACAGCCTCACGGCGCCAGCGCTCCTTCTGCGTTAATATGGAGAAGAAGTGGAGTTTACGCTGCTCCTTGAGACGTTCCATTTCCTCGGATAGGAATTGCATTATCCAGCCAATGGTGCTGCCCTCATACATTTGTAGCAAATGCTCCAGATCCTCACTGCGTCGCTCTTTAAGCATCTCTTTAGCCAGCTCCGGACGGCGAGACATACGCTTCTCATTCTCCAAATGCTGCTGGATGGCCAGCAACTGTTCTTGGGTGAGCTCATGTTTTGATTCGTCATCATCTGAGCGGCGAGGGGCAAAGAAGTCGCGGAGATCCACTTCCTTGTAGTTGAACGAGGGACGAAATTCGTTGGATTGAGGCTTAGGTCGTCGAACGAGGCACTTGGGTGCTGTCTTCTGCTTGGTTGCCTGGGAGCGTAGGGTCTTAAGCGATTCGTAGAGCTTCTGTAGATGCTTGTCGGAGCAGAAGTTCTGCTCGTACTCCTTGACATACTCCTTGGGCTTGGACCACTCCTTCAGCTTGGTAAAGCGGCATTGCAGTTGATTCATATTGACACGCTTCTCCAGGTCGTCGATGCGCATATCGAACGCCTTGCGGCCATCGCCCACGAAATTGCGCCGAGCTGGATCGACGCCGTGACGGATGAGGGGTCCATAGAACTCGGAGCAAGGCGTACCCAATGCATACATAGGACTCTGTTTGACCCAGCGCCTCGAGATGCCGGCATTCTTAATCTGTAGACGGCGAAATGCCCGCTGATACTCAAGCTCATTCTTGTTGAGGCCACGCTGACGCTTCTCCTCGATATACTCGCAGGCCTTCTCGATGCGCGTCTTGGACGCCTCGTGCATCTGCTTCTCGCGCTTGTCGAACATGCGTATGACTATCTCCAGTCGCATCATCTGGCACTCTTGTATGTACTCCTCCCGCTCCATCCAGTGCTCCCACTCGAAGGCCTCGAGTATGGGACGATATTTGCTCTTCATCGCTTTCTCGCGCTCCTCATTCAGTTGCTTCCTGAAGTTCGTCTTCAGCGCTTTGTTGAAGGCCCAGCGTTTGCGGGCGCGTTCCAAGACCTCCACCTCGTACAGACCAGGTGGCTTATCACCGGGCAGCAGTCTGGACAAATTGAAGACCTCTAGGGTCTCACCGTCCTCTTTGTCCATAATGTCGGGTAAATAGGCCACAGTCTGTGCCGAGGACTCCCTGCGTTAAGGATGTGGATATGGATTGAGTTTTGCATGTCCGGGAGAAAGATCAATTACAATTACCTACCTGTAAAGGGTTTGTGTGGTTTGATCTTTATAGCGCCGTTCGTCCACATATTTGGGAAAGAAATCGCATTTGTTGGTGTAATCCTTGATAACCGGCAACGACTCGCGCATCTTCACCTCGAATGTGGTCACATCGGTTTCTCGTCCTGTTAGAAAATCAATTCCCGGTGCCTTGAACTGGCATTCGCTGTCCGTGCGGGCCAGCCAGCCAACTTTACGCTCCGCCGGATTGTTGGCACCTACCCGTAATTGGCATTGAAACTAATGAATCCCATTGCAATTATGCGATTATACGTACCTCCGGTGACGCGTGGATCGCACGAGGGATTTGTTATCAGGCAAGAGGTGAGGCCCGTTTGCATCTCGCTCTCCTTGACTGTGGTATGGCGCGGCTTGATGTGCTCGCGCTTCTTGTCAAAGGTCACACGCTTGGCATGCTTCGGCGGCTCGACCAGCAGCTGCTCCTTGGATGACATCTTTTTGACCTGCTCAACTTTGGGCGCGGAGTAAATGGAGGTGTTGCTAGTGTGGCGCATGCGACGCGCCTCAAACAGAACATTCATGATGTCCTGCTGATTCCCTGGCATCTTTTCCTTTTTGTATATCACTTTTGTTTTAATTGTCCTAGCTAATTAAAAGTTTATGTATTTCTAAAAAAAAAACTTGTTTTAATCATTTAAGTGTTAAGCACGTCCGCTTGGAGTTTACTAATTGAATTTTCCGTAGTTCCTAATTGGGCCCGTTTCTTGTCTCAACTTGACAAAGTTTTCGTTGCCTGCTCGATTTCTCTCTCAGTTTTGATTGTTGTTTTATTTCAGGTCTCGTGGTCATGTCCGCCGCCGTGGAGGCGGTCTACAAGTCTGTGCTGATTGCCAAAATTCCAGCCATGTGGGCCAGCAAGTCCTACCCCAGTCTAAAACCGCTTGGCAGCTACGTTGCCGACTTTCTGCGTCGCCTCGAATTCCTTCAGGTGAGTCCCTTGCACCAATGCCAAAAACATCGAGCTAACAGTAATCGCATGGCAACGGCAACGGCACAGCTGTTGCCCTGGCAGCACAAGTGTTTACTAGGCCACTTGTCCTAGCTCTGACCCCCTTTAACGAGTCAATCAACTTTTGGGAATTAATATAAAACGCCTTTGAAATAGGTGATGCAGATAAGAGCAAAAAA